CTTATTCCTTAAATTTCCCCTCTGCCTGTACAGAATAAAACTCAAGAGCTGCACATGAGAGTCAAATCTAATTTAAAAAAGTACTTCCCTTAATTTACCACATCATGAGTAGTCAATAAATGTTTACATAACAGAAACAGCCATTGCTTTATGTTGAGTTTAAACATTGAATTTTAAAAAGTCTAGCAGAAAACATTAAAATTGCTTTAATTTTTAGATTTAAACAAAACTTATAATATGATTTCAGAATAGTCCTATGCTAGCTACACATGCCTGTAAACCCAGTAACTTGGGGGGCTGAGGCAGGAGGATTGCAAATTTGAAGCCAGCCTCAACAACTCAGTAAGACCTTGTATCAAAATTAAAGAAATAAATAAATGAAATAAAAGGATTGCAGATATAGCTCAGGGGTGAATGCCCCTGGGTTCAAACCCCAGCACAAAATAACAACAACAACAACAACAACAACAATAGGCCCAGGCTTCAGAATCTACTATGTGAGAAAATCAACACTAAGTTATCATACTAAGCATCGTGCTAAGTTATAAATATATAAAAGAGATTTGGGACAGATTTCATTGTTCTGTAATAATGGAAAACAAATATCACATATATGTGGATATGTATGGATTTGAATGTATGTGTATGTAGATCAGCTAAATAACTTCTACGTAGTAATTATTTAAAAATGCTTAGCAATATAATTTTAAACCTTCTAATTCTATCTCTATTATTTTCTAAAAGATGTCAAAGGAAGGAATTAGCAGTTAGCTGCTGAGATTTACTTTGATGTTTAATTTTAATAGGAAGAAGTAAACAACCAATTTAAACTCTAAAAATATCTACTGAACAAAAAATGTTTTCAACTTGAATTTATTAGAGAATTTCTTAGTTGTCAATTAACTTGAGATCATTGGATATATATGGCCATAGGGAATTTAAATATCAGAAATCATAATTATTTGCCAAGATGAAGGAAATGTAATATTAATTTTAGGATTTTGAGAATGGAGCCCAAAGGTACTTAATTAACAAAATTACCCCCTTAATAAAGTGAATGTTTGAAGTGATGTACACATCCAACATTATCTCTGTCAAAATACTAGCAGTTTTCTTGACAGAAATTAAAAAATAGATCCCAATATTTACATGAAATTTCAAGGGACCAGAAGAGTTAAACAATCTTTAAAAAGAACAGCATGGATAGCTGGTATTTTCCAGTTCTAAAACTTATAATGAAGATATGGTAGTCAAGACAGTGTGGCACTGTTGTAAAGATAGACATGTAGATCAACAGAATAGTTCAGAAACAAACTCACATATTTATGGTTAAATGATTTAACAAGGGAACCTGAAACCATTCAACAGAGAGTCTTTTCAACAAGTAATGCAAAGATGTCATGTGTCTTAGTAATTCACCTTTAGGTTATAAACCCCCAAAGAAATTTAAACATGTGCCCACACAAACCATTTTCCGCAGATGTTCATGGTAGTACTGCTCAGAATATCCAAAAAGTGTAAACTACACAAATGTCCATCAACTAACTGATGGAGTGGAAACAAAAGGTGAGGCTTGCATGATGGAATGCCATTTTGCAACAAGATAATGAAGTGCTGACATAGGCCGCAATGCGTCAGCATTGTGCTATGCGCAAGAGTTAATTACCAGAGACCACATATTATATGACTCTATTTGTACAAAATGTCCAAAATAGGATAATCCATGAAGACAGGAAACATATTAGAGCTTGCCCAGGGCTGCCAGGGCAGAGATGGGAGGGCTGAAGAAAGTCTGGTGGATGCTAATGGGCATGGGATTTCTTTTATGGGTGATGAAATATTCTAAAGTTGATTTTGGTGATGGTCACACAACTCTGAATATACTAAAATTAAATTACATGGCTTAAGTGGGGGAACTATGTTACATGAATTTTATTTCAATATACCTTTTTATAAATGATGTACATTAATAACTAGAACTTTACTCACAGATTAAAAAAAAGCTTAGCTAAATGAGAATCTACATGTAATTATGTTTTTTCTTTTTTCCTTTGACATCTTGAAATTATGTTTCTGAATAGAAGGGGTACAAAAGAAATACAGGCACGCCAGTTATTCAGAGAACTGAGTATTAATAAAATTAAGAAAAATATCAAGAATTCCAACATTTATGTAATGCTGTAAGGTACAGAAAGCACTGGCACCAATGGCCTTTTAGTCAAGGAAACAGCAAACCAGAAAGTTGCTTGTCCCTCCCCTCACTGACTTTAAACAAGGAGATCAAATAAGAGAGATAAATATCACAAAATCTTCAGGAGAAACTTAGGAAAAAAAAAAAAAACAAGGAAATGGTAGCCTGCCTTAGGAAAGGGATAGAGTCACATTGTCCAGGATGGACTGATACCTGCTCCACCTGCTGTGCAGCAGGGAAGCAGAACCAGCTAGGTGCCAGCCCAAGGCTACGGAGGACCGATGTTAACTACAGAGGTCAGCTTGGGTGAGAATCTCACAGCCTTGAAGGCACAGGGCTGGACCACTCCTAAGCTTTCACTTCTGCCCACCTCAACTGGGGGCTTGATGATTACATCAATGTATGTGTACACTGTCTAATACTTGGGAAAAAATCAGATATTTATTTTGATCCATTGAAGCTAAATTTAAGTATTACTAAGAGAAAATTCTGAGAAATTCCAGAAATAAGATGGAAATTGCTTATAAAGGACACTCAAGTTGGCATTAAACTGTTTTTAAATTTTTAAAGAAGGAAACTTTAAACTGAGTTTTACATACCATTAAATTGTTTGTGTTTGTGTGTGTGTGTGTGTATACTCACACACATGTATACACATTTGATCTTGCAAGAAGAATGCCACATAAAAAAAATCTCTAGGAGGGTTATACTAGTGAAAAATGAAAGAAATGAATGAGCAAACAGCTAGAAATAAAAATAATAAAACATTCATTGTTATTAAAATATTCCATAATAAAGAAAGAAGTACATCCAAAACATTAAGATCAAAATTTTCAGGTAGTGTCAACATCTGGAAGGAGAAACAAGGAGCTGAGAGCATTCTAAGCATTAATCTTGTTTGAGACTGGCAGTGGAGGAATGTGTTTGTAAGGTACTTGTAAGGTACTTGCTAAGGAAAAGTAACCACTATGATGGATCTTGCTAAGTAAGGGGTACTATGAGAAACAAAAATATGATATGAAATACTTGGTTTGGTAGACAAAAGTCAATTTATCCAACAGAAGCTGGGAAGAGAATCATAAGGAGGCATGCTAATAACACACATGCGTGCGCGCGCGCGCACACACACACACACACACACACATTGGATAGCTGAAATAAGTATTGTTCTTGGTAAACAGTAACTTCTGTCAATGTGTACACCAAACAGAGATTCACAGAGTAAAGGGGGAAATACAAACCAATCGTCTCCTCTACCAGAGAGAAGTGCAAAACAGAAGGACACAGAGAAGGAAGGACTGCCAGCAAATAGAAACTGAACAAAGGTGGGGTCGATACTTCTAACTCCACAAAGTAAAATTTAAGGTTAAAAAGTCATGGTGATAAAGAAGAAAGAAACGTTTGGAAAAACTGAACAAGAAGATATAATGAACATATGTGCACCTGATAGCAGTTTCTCAAACCCCTCCAGGGAGCAACTGAGACACAGGCAGGACCTGGGTGAGCTTCCTGGTTCTGATAACTCCTCCCGCTCTGGCTTATGTCTGCACTACTGACATTCCTTTCCCCTTTGTTCCTTGGCTTTAGCAATATTTGAGAATGTTTTAAACAGATGAACAAATGAGAATTTGGATACAAATAGTCCAGGTTTTCTATTTGCTAAGGGTTTTGAACTAACATTTGAACCAAGGGGCCAAGATGAAATGACATCGCTCGCTGAAACTTTCATCTAATCACTGTGTCTCTTTTCCAATTTCTCCCCAAGCAATGGAAGAGACACACATAAATTTCCTAGTGTTCAAAGCTTCCACGGCAACCTGTGATCTAGAGTAGTAAAAAGTCAAGAACACAAAAGCCAGACACAGCACACATTTTATTGCCTCCCAGAACAGGCCTTTTGGATAGTATCCATGACATGTAACAGTTTCATTTTTTCGAAATCACCAAAAATGTTACAGAATCAATTATATTTGTACCTAGATTTGGGGAGGAGTTTAATTTTATATACCTTGCTTTCCTTAAAGAAAAGCAAAATCTTAAAAATATCAACATATAATTATTCAAATGAGAGCATTGAAAAAGGGAATAAAATATTTCATTATGAGAGTGCTTTAATTTTTCTACTTAAATATTGTGATACAAAGAAAATAAAAATAAAATAATAAGCACAAAATTGAATTGGTGTGCTTCAAAAGCACACCAATAATTAATCATTAACCACAATCTGTGAGCTTTTACTGTTCGGGGTTTTTATTCTCAGAAACCATTTCATGCATTGTTTGGGGGTTTTGACACCACATTTACCTGTGTATGATGATTTGTTTCACTGTACTCTATTTCTGCACAGCCATTCTTCACACACAAGAAAAAAATTATACTTCTCAAAATTTAAAAATAAAACTATAGTGCTACTCATGTCCTTCCATTTTTTATGGCAAACTTTGCTAATAAAGGTAGAGATGAATTGTTAACTAGGGGCCAGTGGATGTACCAAGGACTAAGTGTCTGTGCTTTGTTTCTCCCATCATAACTATATCTTAAATTCCTTCAACTCCTACCTGTCAGGGAAAGGCTGCCAGGTGAGCAGTCTGTCAGTCTTGCCTAGGCTAATAGATTCTCCGGTGGCTTTTGTTACAGTTCATGTCATACCATTAAAACTGTGTGCCTTGAAAATGGCATAACATATGTAGCTGAATCTTGTCAACTCTAGATAATCAGACTCTGTGTGGCTTCACAAGCAGATGCAGATTAGAGAAACAATATAAATATGTAAATCACTGTGGTCCCCTTTCGGCACCACTGTTCCTACCTCTAATGGCCCTCGCAGAAAGTCTGTTTGTTCGGCTCCTACTTCCAGTGCTACATCAACAGAAGCAAAGGGACGGCTGGCCATCTGCTGTCGTTCTCGAAGCAGTTGCTGGAGGGGGTTAAAAATGATCTGTTTAAAATAGGCTTGAAAGCACATTAAACTCAACAATATCTGGTTTCATTTTTGAACAAATGGTACTGAAAATTTAGGAATCATTTCATATACACATCCATATCAAGAAAGATAAAGATGAAAATTACCTTCTCCCTATGGCCTGGGTTATATTTCCATAGGGACATTAAATGTATAGAGCCTACAAATAACTTTTCCCCTGACCTCCATCCTACAAGCTTAATAAAATGTTCTCAAAAGCACTTTGAAAACCTTGGGTGAGACGTGCTACTTAAATAATAATAAAAAAATGCTATTACAATGACAGCTTATGCCAAATTTTCCCACTCAAAATAACCTATGCTTTTGTCTTAGCTGAAAGAAAATAACAGTACAAATGTCTAAGAAATGATAATGAAAAGTTGTCAAAATGCATGAATAGAGATTAAAGGAACATATACCCTACAAGACTAAGTATTGTAAGATGTCAAGATCCCCTGTCAATTTCTATGGAACTGGTAGGAATCATCATTGTTGGTATTTATAACTTTATTCAAAGCTTCCAAGTTCATTATTTTAAATTAGGAATGATTAGTAAATTGTAGAAGTTTTGTGCCTGTGCTTCTAAAGCACCCTCGATATTTTTTCTTTCTCTTTGTACTTATTGTGGGATTTGCCCAAGCTAAAATCAATAAACCTTAAAGTCCCAACCAACTACCAAGCTAATTCATATTTCTGCCTCTCCTTGTAATTATAAAATTCATTAAGTCATGATAAGAAAAAATTGATGGCCAGTACTAGATATTGCAAATCTTGCCCCTCTCATTCAATACAGCTAATAAAATTATTATTAAATATTAAAGGAAGATGAGTGATGCAATTAAATATTCTTTCAAATGAGAAGAGAATCATATCATTGGAAGAAGGCAGAATCCTTGAACACAATGAATGGCTTTATTATTTATACAGACTTTGAAAGATTCACTGGCTTAAACTTAAAACGTTAACTACTGGGCTCTGCATGCAAATGGATGCAGCCCTCTGATGCATCATTCATAAGATTCCCTGTGGAAGACAAGGGACACAAGGCAACACCCAGTGGCAGTTTATTATTTACATATTTAACACTTGTGACATAGTGGTGATGGTATTCATGAAATGAGGATCTAAAATATAATCTCAGGCTTTGCTTAACCACTATTTAAAAGAGATATCCACATAATAATATGGGATAACAGTAATGCAATCATTGATAGCTTAACTTACTAAATTATACTTTTCCTAGAAGTAATAAATCCATACTAAAAAACTTATTCAAAGTAGATAGTAAATGTGATTTAATTATCAAATTATTCCTTTAATATAAATACAAAATTATTTTATTAAAAATGTAGTTGTTAGCAAATAGAATCTGATCTGCACCTCTCAATAGGAGTGGCTAATGGATCTGAAGAGAAAGACTATGCAAAATATAAACACCATGCTGAGTGATACTAAAAGTGGAAGACACTGTGCTCTTGGTCTTTGGTAGAAATATACACACAGACCAACATGCACACGTACCCCCCACCACATACACAAATACACAATCGACCTTTCCCAGAGTAATATACAATTAGCT